AACATTGGCCTACCACTTGTACTAATAAAGTGCCAAGGGCCTAAGTGGTCACCTTAATATTAAAAAAAAAAAAAAAAAAAAGAAACAAGAAGCTTATATTAAGCCAACTAATTTACTTAAACAATATATACTTGATCCCAAAGCTATGTTATATGCTACAAGTATCTAACCTCTTTAAGAATGCTTTAGATTTAATACATCAATCTATAATTAGAGTAATAAAAAACAAGATCGAGCTACTTTGCACAACAAGCAACTTCTTATTGGTATATAAAAATTTAGAAAATTGTAAATTTTTTTAGCAAGAGCTCTTAACATAGCAAATAACAAATCTTCAATGCAGATTAAATAGTTCAAATTGAGATAGTCAATTAGCAAAAATTCAAATCAAACAAGGCTTGTTAAAGGCAAATATTATTAATAGAAGTTGGATTTTTGAAACAGACTCAATATTGATTTTAATTTGGAAAAATAATATAATATGCTTAATATTGTACAAGGCAAAAAACTTTAATATAAATATTTAACCTGTTATTGATTAATAGCATTTTCAAGAAACTGGTCTACAAATCAGAGAAGTTATAGATGCAGCTTTCTTCATATATAAAGTAATAGTTATAGTTAAAGCTAAGAAAATAGATAAAAATATAGCTAAAGCAAAAGAAGTAAACAAGTTAGAGTTAGAAGATTTGTACAACTTGAATTTAAATATAAAATAATAACCCATAAAAGAAGTTAATTGAAAATTACTGAATTAGTAATAAACTAATAAACAATTATTATAATATAAAACACAATATATAGATCATATTATATATATAATACTAGTAATAATTACTAGTAATAATGCATAGTAATTTTTTTTTTTTAAATGAGGTCTTTTTCTTATACAGATATTATATTGTAAGTTTATATAAATTTTTGAGAGAAGTAGAGATAAAACTAGTTTACTCTAGATCTTAACCTTAGCTAATAGGTTAAAAGACCTCTAGACTATGAATTAAGAATGTTATGTAGTGAGTAGTTTTTGGTAATATATTTATATTTTCAAGAATATATTTTACTATGTAGAGATCTATCTTTAGGCATGAGTTGTGATAGAGTTATCATAGTCCGGAGACTTGGTAAATGAATGATATTGATGTTGGTATTGGCAGATGAGATTCTACTAGAGATCTAGATAAACCTGTATATTTCTTTTATAATTATATAGTGAAGTTCTGGTAAAAGATTTAGTGCCGTCTTGTGATTTCGGGTAGATACTAGTGTTTCTTTGGTTATTAAGCCTATTGGAATTTGGTTATCATAATGTTGTTAGTATAGCAGGTTAATCAGTGTAGATCTGTCTCAATTGCATTATTACAATGTTTACAATTTGGTAATGTGTGTGTGTTGGCAACATTTGAATAGGTTGAATTGATTGGGTAATTAATTCGTTTATTAAAATTTTGAATTTAAAATTTTTTAGCTATGATATGTAGAGTTCTGTGTGATATTGGTATGGGTTATCATCTTGTCTGAGATATTGAAAGGTAGATTGCTATTGTACCTTCAGGTTTGCTTTAATCCAGTGTTGAATATGATTTTGGGTAAACCAATTGTTTAAATACATAGTAATATTAATTTTTAAATTATAATAAATATATTTTTAATATGTTTTTAAAGTATAATAAACTTATTTTTAAATTGAAAAATTTCTTAATTTATATCTAGTGTATATACATATATACTAATTTATTGATTTATGAATTTGTTTAATATATAAATTATAAATGAAAAATTAGTATAGCTTAAGATTAGGGTGAGAGTAGCTTTAGGGTTAGATGAAGTTATAGTTTACACTAAAATTTTGCAAGAAATATTTTTTGTTAGAATCCCAAAAGCTATTATATAATCGGGATTTTGAGATATCAATATACAGTATGTGTATATATACACCTGGTGTACAAATAATAATTATCTTTTAAATTATAATAGGTATATTTTTAAATTATAATAAATATATTTTTAAATTATAGTATAAAATATTTTTAATAATATTATTATTAAATTATCACTAGTAATTATAACATTTTTTAAAACATAATAAAAACATAGTAAATATATAATAATAATATTTGTAATTTTTTTATAATTTCTGTAATGTAAACAAACTTGCTTGAGAATATATTCATATATTTTTTTTTATTTCAGTACAGAACAGCAAAGCATTGTCAGTGTGGATAGAAAAGGGAAGTTAGAAATGGGAAACAGCCGAATATCATGTTTATTGTTAATTATAAGGAAAGGATACATGAATTGGTATTTGCTAAATGTTCATGTTTGGTTTACACCGAAGAAAAAGAAAAAACAGATCAAGTAAAATTGTGGTGAGAAATGAATGATGGACTATTCTGGTCTCACAAAGCATGCAAGCCAGACAAAGGTAAATTTGGCATTATTGGTGTTCAAGTAGCTGGCAGTCTGAATATTATAATTAAAGACGATGATGATGTGCACCGTCTCTATCGGTTATGCTCAGCTGAAATACTAGTTCAAAAAGTTGACAGTGAAATTTATTCAATACTTGCATTCTATTTTTTATTCTGAGCTTTGATACTTACCTTTTGTAATTGAATAATAGAACATTCTGATCATCAACTTATCCTTACTATTATATTCGCAAGAGACTGAATCGCATGAGGATAGTGAAAGTAGTTCTACATTGCATTCTCCACGTAGAGAAAAACAAGAACGAACAAAAATTAGAAAGATAAGAAAAAGAAGTCCTTCACGGGAAAGAGGGAGATTAAATAAGAAAAAAAGCCGAGATTTGAAGAAAGGTTGCTGTAAGTTATATAATAAAGTTGACCATGGTGGTAAATTTTAAATAAATAATCAGTTTACTTTTGCGGGTGTATTTCGTGAATTTATTTTATTGTATTATTAATTACCCGAGAATTTTTTTTAAAGTCGATTTTTTTTTTTTCATTGGCGGATGGTTAATTCGATGAATAAATTTCAAGAATAAATAGAAATTGTTATATAAAGCAACGCTTAAGTGCGTCATAATACCCACTTCACCTTATATGATCAATGAACGCCCGTACTATACTAATTTTTTTGATTATTCAGAAAATGCCGCTTCGTGACATTTTCTGATCAAAAAAATGATCTCTTTACCATCATTGTGTTATATTATAATACATAATTATTTCACGAATTTATTAGTTCAGTTCGTCTAACATTACATAGACGTGCATTCACTTAAACGTAAAGAATCCCGCTACGCTTCGAACAAAATAAAATTATTATACAGTATATTATTACATACAGGGTTGGCACATTTATCCATTGGGATGAATGGAGAACAGCTCCATTGACATTGCTCCATTGAGAATAATTTCTGAATGGAACCAATGGATGCCAACCAATTCTATTGGCATTGATCCGTTCAACAGGTCAGCTATTAGTATATGAGATATAGATTAGAGCCCTATTCTTCATCGTTTTCGTTAAATTTTTATATAGGAGCCATTGGCTCTATTCACTCCATTGGGCTCCATTCGCACCATTGGTAATTTTCTTAATGGAGTATATCCATTGCCAACCCTGGTTACATATGGGCTGCCGTCAATAGAAATCAGGCAGATTGACATTTTAAAAAAAATCCATACCTCAACTTTCACAGCTCATATCTCGATGAATTTGGAAGCTATCTTGATGATTTAATATTAAAAAAGAAAGACTAAGTTATAAGCTTTCTTTTGAATATTTAATCATCAAAATCGCATCAAAATTCATCGATATGTGAGCTATGAAAGTTGAGGTATAGATTTTTTTAAAATGTCGATCTGCCTGATTTCTATTGACGGTAGCCCATATATTTAATTTATATTCTTTGCAGCAAAAAATATACCATACAAAAGACGCCAACCAATTTGGTAGATTTCCCTAAAAGAACCCAAGAAATTATTTGAGTGGGCCAACATTGTACAAGCTAAACATGCTGTTATTGAGGATGATGAGGATAAACTTTATATGGGTGATTCTTTATTTATTATCGAATGGGATAAAACCGGACTTCAGCAATGAGGAATTCAGAAGACTGCTGTAATTAATGGTAAGAAAAAAAAATTGTACCATTTTTTTTTAATTCTTAATGAGATTTCTAAAATTTTTTTTCTGGACAGCGATTCGTAGTGTCTAAGGTTGCCAACCATTTCCTCAAAACGCTCAATCTCTGTCAAATTCTATTTTTTATATTGTTGATACACATGATATTCAAGCACAGCAGATAGTTCAGAATATTGTCAGTACATTATTTGCAGAGAGGAGTTTCTACATTGGGGCGAGTGTATATGATGGTTGCTGAAAGAAAAGGCACTAAAATAGATCACGTATTTAGTCTTTGATGTTTAAAAATAAAAAGAAATTGTAGGTTATATATAGACATATACATGACATCAACAATTCATATAAATTAAATTATATACTAGCTTAGGTTGTAAGTATAAGACTATTTTATTATCTCTAATTGTCCGGCATGATACATCAACAGAATAATAGCATATGTTGCCAATACCTATGTATCCATCACATCATGCTGGGCAACAAGAATTTTTATATAAGACTATCGAAGTATGTAATAAAATTTCAATATCTGTGCCTTGAAAATCACCCTCCGACATTTCTGATTGGGTTAATTTGGACAAAAACAAATCTGCATATTTGTTCATATTTATATTTGAATCTCTTTTTGCCTTTATTGGGGGATGTCTAAAGCGAAGTAGATTCTTATAATATAGGGTATATTTTATCGAATTAACTTTAGGGTTATGGTCATCTTGGATTATGGTTAAAGCAGGCTTTAGATAATAATATATAAGCAAAATTGCCTTCTCAACATTTTTACTTAGCTTACCCAAGGCAGGTTTAAACTCAAGTTTTTTGCTTTTTTTTTCTTGTTTTGCTTTGTTGGCAATCATCAAAACTTTATAATTTGATTGGTCATGTATCACGTAATTCTGCTCCGCTTTAGACGATTCCTTTTGAAACTTTATTCTATAAGCTATTGAACTATAAAAACAAAAGGGGGTTTATATATAAATATGAACTAATATATGGCTTTGTTTTTGTCCGAATTAGCCTGATCGGAAATGTTGAAGGTGATTTTCAAGGCAAGGGCCCATATAATTGTCAATGATGCTAATAAATACAATAATTTAAATTATTTCACTGTTATATTATTCTCTTCTATGTTAAATTAAATGGAAATTTGATAGTAGTAGAATCTAATAAACTGGTATCTAACCTTGGACATATCAAGAACAAAGATATGATTTTAAAAAGAAAAAATAAATGGTACTCACATAACATCATGAATCTTTATTTGCTTATATTAATCACAAATAATCAACAAAATAACAAAATAAGCCAGGAATATTTTATGATTTAATAATCCAGTTCAGATGATTTTAGTATCATTTATTGAGAGGATTTGAATATCAGAATAATCTAAATTGGTATTACATAATTACTATATATACTAGTGTTGATGTTCAATTGATTTGGACATATGTTTAATTTATTTTGGACATATGGGCGGTTAAAAGTAGTAACACAATGTAACATTAGCATAGCATAATATAGATTATAGTTTATTATTTGTATATACAGTATTAGTTATTATTATAGTTATATTTATTAGTATATTATTAGTTATTATCTTTATTATTGTATTAGTTACAGAAATATTATTGGCTAATTATATATAGCACAGTAATGCTACACAAGTGCTTTTAAGTGCCTCTAAGTGCCTCTGCACGAGTGCCTCCAAGTGTCTCTGTATGAGTACTTCCAAGTGCCTTTATACAAGTGTCTCTAAATACCTTTACACAAATGCCTCCAAGTGCCTCTGTACAAATACCTCCAAGTGCCTTTGCATGAGTATCTCTATACAAGTTTCTCTACATGGATGCCTCTAAGTGCCTTTGTATGAGTATCTCTAAGTGTCTCTTATACAATTTAGCTATTATATCATTATTACAACTCTTATATATAGAAAAAGTTATAAAAAGAGAGCCTTTACCTCTTTTGCTTAAATTAGAGAGTTCCCTACCCTTTCATAGTATCTAGCCTTACTTTTTTACACTTCTTGTCCTTATATAAAGTAATATACACTCTCTAGAGTAATTTTAGTAGGTAAGGTTATTCTCATTGACCTATAATAAATAAAGTATTAATTTAATATGCAAGAGATTCGAGAGTGAATGTAAATGTGTGTCAGTCCAGTCCAGAAATATCTAACTTTGGTCAATTTTGTCAAGATACGAAAATCTCATCCGTATTTCGTGCCTAAGACTTTAATTTAAATTCATTTGCATTAAAAAAGATATATCATTTTTATTTTTTTATTTTATTTTTTATTCTAAATTCGTACTTAATCCGAATTATAGTTGGGGCGGCCGTGATAATTGGCGTTACCTTAGTTTTATCACATGGTTTGGCCTGTGGATAGGGAGTCTGGCATGCCCAAAAAAATTGGCATGCCATGACATATTACACATAATTTCTGTACTACATCAGTTGCAATCTATTAATATTTTTTTTTTTTTTTTTTTAATATTTAGGTGACCACTTAGGCCCCTGGCACTTTATTAGTTCAAACGGGTGG